TTCCAAAAAAAAAAAAAAAAAAAAAGCTCCGCTCTCGTTTGTCTCTTTTTTCCCGCGATTCAGGACCCACCGCTGCTAAGGCATGGAAGGGAATGAGCTTGTGGGGATCACAGGTGGATCTGGCCGATGATGTATACCCTTCCGCTAGTTTCTTTGCAGTGTTTCTGTCCCTTTTTTCTAGGGTAGTTCCTCAGTGGGCACCCCCGCTGCTGGGTTCAGAAACCGGGTGCTCGACTTGCAGTGTTTATTTCACTCGTCAATATATGTCCAGAAGGTAAGTAAAGAGAGGGTTAATGTGAGTATGATGTTTCTTTTGAGCATTAATCCTCTTTGAGGAGTTGGATTCCTCGCTCCATGGGCTGTCCTGCTCCCGGCGCCTATTTATACTATAGTCACACCGGTAGTGACGTCATGGCTGTCGCCGGCCAACGAGTTGGTGTTTTTTCAATGTATGCTTCAGACACGGGTCACGACGAGGCGTTCCCCCATAGCGACCCCTAGAGGATGCAGTGTCTCGTTCCCTACTCAGGGAACCATGGTTACATAAGTAACATGAGACGATTTTTATCATTATAGGGTGGCTGTGTACACACACTGCCAACACACATTTCTGTTCAAACAACTTGTAAAAGTGCATGTAGCATTATATGACCCCTTTAAGAAAGCTCGAGAGGTCTCTCAAGTGGTTAGGAGTTGCCAGTATGGGCATGTGATGGTGCTGAGGAGACGTGCGCAAGTCTTTCAGGAGAGGAAGAATGTTTTTGAAATGTTTGACAACGAGCAGTTAATAAAACAGCTAAATTTCCTCAGTTATTTGAACAGAAAACGAGCAAAGAATATTTACATTACCAAAGAACATCAACTGACTTCAGTCTAACGCGAGTATTATATGCTCTTTAAAAACACTCCCGTTATAATCAGTGAAGGTACCTACACTGTATCATGAATAAACCTCTTACCCCTTATTAACACTGCACACATCTGCGGCATGTTACGGCTCCGTCACGGCCACCGCAGCTGATCACGGCTACTCACCAGTTTCTGAAGCGGCTCTACGCACTGTATCACTAAAGATAGGTGCCTTTATTTTTGACGGACAATAATAATAATAATAATCGTCTTGCTGTCGTCAAAGAAATCAGCAACAGGCGATATCTCTGACTGTCGTCGATACATACTATCATCTACCGGCACAACCCTAAATTAAAGGTTGTAATGACGATTAATTTCCTTACCATAATGTATTTTCTTGAAAATTCTTTATTGTCAAATGTGTGTTGAATGTAAACTCCTATTAGGATTTTAACCATTCAATGTGAATTTATCTGAGAATATTCTTAAATAAGGGAATCTATTCGGTGATTGGTCCATGTGTTTCGTCATCCAAAATCCCATTTGTGGCACAGCAAAGTGTCGTGAATCAACTCTAAGACTGACTCTTAATATTTAGTCCTACAGTTCGCTTAAATTACAACTGAGATGCTTGATAACTAACTTTTAAGCGCAGGGTAAGATTTGCATTTCTGTACCAAATAAAGAGTATAAACTATATCTTAAGATAAGTCAATATTTGAACCACTAAAGTTTTTTTCCCCCCTACATATGTGTTTTACTCTTTTTATAGGCACACATTTAACTGTGAGTCTGAGACTTGATGAAGGGTAAGTTTTGCATTTATGTACTAAATAAAGAATATAAACCGTATGTTATTAAGATAAGCCAACATTTGAACGACTTTACATTTTTTTCCATCATTAGAATATTAGACAGCTGAGTTCAATCGGTGTCCGTGTCATAGGCTGGAAGATGTAGGAGCGAGGAAACGATTTAGCTGTGATTGGAGCTGCAGATCCACCGGTCAGTGTGGTTTAATTAATTAGCCTACTCACTCTCATGTTGTTCCACACTTGTAAGACCTTTGTTCATCTTCAGAACACAAACTAAAATATTTTTGATGAAATCCGAGGGCTTTCTTTTCCCTCATTGGCAGCAACGCAACTACCACATTCAAGGTCCAGAACGGTAGGAAAGACTTATATTTAAGAATTATATGAGGGTGAGTAATTGATGACAGAATATTCATTTCTGGTTGATTAAACCCTTCATAACATTGTACGTGTATTTACACAGTTTTTGTGTTGTCTGTTGCCACCTCATCGCTTACATTTATGTCGCCAGAAAGCTAAACCTCTATCACACCTCATCAAAAATCTACCCTGCCGCTGCCGCCATCATGTTTGCTACTGTTTATTAACTTGGCGAAATGTTTGCTGCTATAGTGCTTGTAAAGCGCTGTCACAGTATACAGCTTCAGCAGCCCTTGTTTAAAATGCGTATCTTAATTTGTTTAACGTCTCAATCAACTTGCATCACATATTTGCATCGATTTCAACCGACTTTGAGTACATTGTTACATTCCTATTACTCACAAAAGCAGCATAGGGAAACTTAAAACCAGAGGTGTCTAAACTCGGTCCTGGATGTCCACTCTTCTGCAGAATTTAGCTACAACTTACCTGGAAGTTTCTGGTATGCCTAGTAAGACCTTAGTTAACTGATTCAGTGTTTAATTAAGGATGGAGCTAAACTCTGCAGGACAGTGACCCTTAGAGCAAAATTTGTCACCCCTGCTTTAAACCATTATTATTTTATTTTATTATTTATTTTTTTTGTTATTCAAAATATTGAATGTATTTCTTAATTAATTTGTGTATATTGAAGTATGTCAGTGTGTAGTGTATATAAAATAACCAACTGTTAGTAATTTTTACTGTTATTTTCTGATTTTAAAGGCTCATGCTGCATACACACAAGAAGGGCGTGCAAGCTGGCCTCCTAATACGAAGACTACGATGGTGCACTGCAGGACACCTTTCTCCTTTTAAATGTTCAAGAAAAAAAGGACTGTAATGGACATGTATGTGTGTATTTTTTTATCAAGCTTGTCTCAGTGGTTGTTTTTCATGAGGTATGAGTTTTCAGCTTTGTATGAAAGTTTCTTGGCAGTTTTTTGCTACTTTTGTGCCCTTGTTGTATTCATATACTGGCATTCACACATTAGCATGCACAGGCAGATTGTGTAGAGTTCTTAATATTAAACACTTGTTTATAAAAAAATTAAATGTTTCAAACAAATGTAGTATATATATTTTTTATCTGTATCTAAAATAAAGGTTACATTATCATAACTAGAAAATGTATGTAAAAACTTATGAACTCAAGTTGAAACAGCAAATATTGTAAAGTCAAATGAACTTTAATAAAGCAATTCAGCATTTTAAATAAGTGAGTTGAAATTACTTGTACTTTTAAGTTGATTTAACTTAAAATTTTAAGACAGCCACAAAACTTAAGTTTAAGTTGAAACGGGTGAATTTTTTTTACAGTGTAGCTTTAAGAAATGTGATAACTCGCTTTTATACTTAAGTTTGAGAAGTTTAAAGTAGGAGTAAATGTAATGAATTCTCAGCACTTAAGACTAAAATGGAGCTGTGTGAAGTTCCCTGCTGCTTCAAACGCTCCACCATCATTCTAGTCCCCAAAAAGCCCAAAATCACTGGACTTAACGACTACAGACCTGTCGCTCTCACATCTGTGGTCATGAAGTCACTTGAGAGACTGGTCCTGGTCTACCTGAAGGACATCACTAGACCCTTGGTGGATCCTCTTCAGTTTGCCTACAGAGCAAACAGGTCTGTGGATGATGCATTCAACATGGAACTGCATTACATCCTGCAACACCTCGACGGACCTGGGAATTACGCAAGGATCCTATTTGTGGATTTCAGTTCGGCCTTCAATACCATCATGCCTGACCTTCTCTCAGACAAACTCACCCAGCTTTCCGTGCCCACCTCCATCTTTTTTTTCTTTTATAACTTGTGTGCTTTTCCTGGTCGAGTTGGAGTGAACTGTTGTGCTAATAGAGTCTCTTGAACACTTAAGCCGGGCTCACACTACAGGAGTTTTAAAATCCTAACCGATTATGAAATCTGGTTGCAGCACACACATAAGGAGAATATTTGCAGATTATCTTCTCCCAAATCTTAAACATGCACACACTACAAGATTTGAACATCATGGCGCATCACACACTACAAGATATTATTGAGATTATCATGCTAGAGGGAGCGCCTCACGTGATCGCCTCGTGACCAGAGGCATGTCTACGTGGTAGCCAGGAGTGGCACCGGCCCCCCCTGAAATCTGTCTGGCCACTCCAGG